ACCCAGGCGCCCCTAAGACAGCAATTTTGACTGAGAGTGATTTTGGTTCCATGGTGGTACCCATTTCTTCTTGCCTTGAAATTCAACCCTAACGAAACTAGCTCCAGTGCCAGCCAGCCCTGTTCAGGTGGGCCCTACCAGGGCAGGGAGCTGAGCTTTGGGGTGTTAAGATCTTCAGTACACATTCACAGCCTTTGAGGAACCGATGTACTGATGCACTGATGTAGCTCAAAGCTCAGCTACTCCTCTAGTAGAGAATGCTGACGGCACCCCCTAAGGAATGGGGAAATTCTCCTAAGACCATTGAATACAAATCAAATTTAAAATTTAAAAACAGTGTTCTCTTTAGCATTTCATGAGTTACTCTTTACCTTCTCAGATTTCATGTTTGTACAAAAATTGCTTTAAATGAAAATGATACAAGTCTAAGCAGCAGGAGTTACATTTCTGACCAATGGCTCAATGCTCAAGTTTACAAAAAAAGATTATGAAGACCAAAAGCAATCAATTGTTTTTATTTCATCATAAATAAAATCCGGTGTACTTTATACGTGACATACATAAACAAAGGAAGGGGATTCAGTAACAAATGACATTTCATTTAATAACTCAGGAGCAGAGTTGTACCGAGTGGGATGAAGGACCCTGGTACCACACAAAAGGAACATGAGGACTCCTTTGAAGTGTGTCTAAGGGCCAGAGATGGGCACAGAAATGAAAGGAAGGCAAGGAAGAAAGGCATCTGAGGCACTGGCTGGCTGGCCTGTTTGGTGAAGGTGTCCTGTATCACTGGTAAAACCAGTGGGGTGCTCTTAGTCTTTAGTGGAAGGCAGAGGCTGCGTGTCTGATGTGTGCATCAGGCAAAAAAACCCCCACACTCCTCCAAGGCCTCCATTTCCAGATCACTGCTTCACTGCCCTTCTTCTACAGCACAGAATCTACCTCAGATCTAAACCACAAATCAAAAATCGTAGCGGAATCATGTACAAAGGCAGAAACCGAGAGATCTTAAAAGCAGTATTAGAAAAGTTTAAGCCTTGAAGGAATGAGAGAAGGGGTAGCTAAGATAAAATCTAGATCAGCCTGACTCTAGGACAGAAGAGAGGGTGACTGGCAGGTCCTCCCGCAGAGGTGGACGGATTTACCTCCACAGACACCTTTCTTCCTCTGATTTTATTTTCAATACTCAACAAGCAAATTCCCAGTAAAATTAGCTCAAGGAAGCTTCCTTTTAAAAAGAAATTTCTCATGGGGCACCTGGGTGGCTCAGTCAGTTAAGCATCTGACTTCGGCTCAAGTCATGATCTTACAGTTCTTGAGTTCAAGCCCTGCCTCAGGTTCCCTGCTGAGAGCAACAGAGCAGAGCCTGCTTGAGATTCTCTCTCCCTTTCTCTTTCCCTTCCCCACTTATGCACATGCTTTCTCTCTCTCTTTCACTCTCAAAATAAATAAATTGACTTTTAAAAAAGTAGTAAAATAGGCAGAAGATCAGTATGAGAAAAACTTTAACATGTATTCTCAAACATTTTTATTAAAGTGTTTTGAAATGAACCTTCAGTGTAAGAATACACATCATCATAGTATTCAACTAGGACATGTGTTTTGGCTATTCTGCAGGTACAGGGTGGATCCTACCCCAAATTTGGTTTGGATGTCGAGACTAATGACACCACACACATGCAAGAGGGTATGAAAGTATTTATCACTCACGTAATGACACTTTCTGGTGAGAGCTGGATGGGCTTCCCAAGCTGGTCAGAAAATGACTTGAGAGGGGTGCCTGGGTGGCTTAGTCGGTTAAGCGTCTGACTTCAGCTCAGGTCATGATCTCATGGTTTGTGGGTTCGAGCCCCACATCGGGCTCTGTGCTGGCAAATTGGAGCCTGGAGCCTGCTTTGGAATCTGTGTCTCTATGCCCCTCTCTCTGCCCCTCCCCTTCCCACGTGTGCACGTATTCTTGCTCTCAAAATAAATAAACATTAAAAATAAAAGAAAGAAAATGCCTTGAGAGAAAGGGAAAGGAGATGATCTTCAGGTTTTTATGATGGTTAGGGGGTAGGGCCAGGGTGAAGGCTTCCACACACAGGTTGAACTTCCTAGTGGTTGCAAAGGAGAAAGCCTCTAGGCTTTCTCATCACCTTGCCCAGATGTGGGGCAGACAAGGAAGAGGTTTGAGAGGAGAAGCTTAAAAGGTATCAGCAGTCAGACATCAAAAAATGGAGTCAGACTGTTTATTACAATGTGTGTCACCATTGAATAATGCGAAATGACATCCCACTTGGATCTGAATTCTTCATTGATTTAACTGATAGAGTGCTTTGTAAAGAGTGGCAAGAGTCAAGGAGGGTACTGCTTTGTTTGTTGTCTGTGTGGGAGAAAGGCCGTGGCATCCCGTTGACCTTGAGTGTATAAATGTAGGCAAAGGCTTGAACTCACTTTATGTGAGTCTTGGCGGTACTGATTGTGCTCCTCTGGGAACACAAGAGAATGGGAGGCCCCAAGGAGATGCTGGGACATCATCTCCCACTCACTTTCTGTCTCCCCTGGGAAATTGTTGTGAAACTGTCTCATCACCTCCAGGCTTCAGATAAGGTTTGGAGCTTTCTGCCCTGCCCACCTGAGACTAGAAGTGCAGACTAGAGAATTGCTGAGCTGTGGTCTCCAACTGCTCCCCAGCACCAGGGCCTCCTACAACTCAGGGTGTGGGCATCTGATCCCTTTTGTGTCAGTACTGTCCTTTTTGGCGTGTGAGGCAGGGATCACTGGGGACTGGCACTTTTGGTTTATTCTTCTTTCCACAGACTATGTAAGAAACTGTCCCAATCTAAAAATGTCTTGTTACATCATTACTCTCAAGCCTTTACTTTGGGCTTTGCCTTGCCTTCTATATATGAACTTGGCAGTCTGTAATGTAGCTTGGACAGAACTCCATTTCTTCATTTCTTTATACTTCTCATATTTTAAGTCAGACCTTTGGTTATTCTCCTGGCATGAATGTTTGTTTTCCATTTCACAAATTTGCTGACTCTTTTGCTTTAGCTTTTTCCTTTCTACATTTGCATTCTTATTACCCGTTTAAGAAAAATTAGAATAAAAAAGTAATGCAGATAGCATCCCAAACTAGGGATCTAGAATAATTCTAAACAAAGATGTGTGATACAGTTATAGAGAGATTTTAAAACTTTATTAAAAGAAGACCTTCCCTTGTGAAGCCAGACAAAATAACTCTCACTTATATGGAAGAGCAAAGAACCAAGAGAATTTTTATTCTTTGCAAAAGTCTTTGTAGGCACTTCATTCTTAGACTACAGACTATGAATTAAAAGGCATACAAAGGTTAAATAACTTGGCACATAATTGTAGAGGCTTGATCACCAAGGCTCGGCTAGAGTTTATATCCTAACTAAGGAATTAAAATTTAAGGTGCTTTCAATGAAATATTATTCAGTGCTAAAAAGGAATGAGCTATCAAACTGGGACAAAATATGAGAGAAACTTAAATCATATGGCTAAGTGTAAGAAGCTGAGCTGAGAAGACTTACCTATTATAGGAGTTCAACTGTGTGACATCTGGAAAAGGCAAAATTATAGAGACAGTAAAAAGATCAGTGGTTACCAGGAGGGGGGACAGGGGCAGGGAGGGATGAGTAGATGGAGCACAGAGGGTTTTTAGGGAACTGAAAATATTTTCATTGATACTGTAGTAGACGGTACATGTCAGTACATGTTTGTTGGAACTCAAAGTACAACACCAAGAGTGAAGTCTGTGGTGAACTATGGATTCTGGCTGATGATTTTGTTTGAGTGTTGGTTCATCAGCTGTATCAAGTATAGCACTCTGGTGTGTGATATTCATCATGGGGCAGGCTCTGTGTATGTGACAGCAGGGGCTATATGGACAGAGCTCTGTACCTTCCACTAAGTTTTTCTATGAACCTAAAGCTACCCTAAAAAATTCTCTATTTTTAAAAATTAACGTGTTTGGGGGCACCTGGGTAGCTCAGTCTATTGAATGTTGGACTTTGGCTCAGGTCATGATCTCCCAGTTCTTGAGTTCGAGCCCTACGTCAGCCTCACTGCTGGCAGCACGGAGCCTCCTTCAGATCATTTGTCCCCCTCTCTTTCTGCCCCTCCCCTTCTCACACACTCTCTCTCTCAAAACAAACAAACAAAAAAAATTAAGGTGTTTTGAAATCGTGGTGGTGAGGACATTTTCTTTGTCTTTTCACTGAGGGAACTTGATAGGAATTTTATTAAAACTTAAAAGACCTGGGACACTTTTGAGGACCCCATATAGTCTTAAAATCACTCTGTGGTTTGGTAACTATGATGTGTTAACTAAAATTTGATTTGCCAATTAACGTATTTATTTGGTTTATTGAAAATGGCATTTTCCTATCCGACAATAATCACAGCTCTGTTAATTGACCTTTGAAAATGCTTCTGTTCCTTTGTAATGAGAAATACAACTGGTACACTTTAAGGAACCTTGTATTTTTCAAGTGTTGAAGCAAAAACTCTAAGCAAAGCACCATCAGTGTTACAGGAAAAAAAGATGATTGCTGTGTTTTGGATGTAGTGCTCTCTGTGCCAAATATAAAAAGTGTTCAGGGTCAGAGCTGTACTACTGCTGTCCATCACCATCACCGCCTCCACTACCACCACAAAACGACAACAACAACAAAAGAATGTTTTGAAATGAGGGTAGGGAGGAAAAAGAGAAAATCCATGTGCTCTGCATACAGCTTTGACCGCAGGAAACTTTTAACGAACTCACACTTTGAATTCTCTGTAGAAATTTGCCTCCCTAATGCTTTGTTTCTGTCATAATTACCGATTGAGACAGACATCGCTGTTCTTTCCATAACCATTTGCTCACTCTTCATGCAGCAATATTTCTTGAGCATCTTATGTGCCAGGCGTTTTCGTAGGATATGGGGATAGATCAGGGATCATCTTGATCCATGATCTCATGGAGTTTATATTTAATAGAGGAAACACAGATAATAGATAGTAAAATGTAGGCAAGCACTTACACTGAGGAAAAGTAGAACATATGGGGTGCTCGTGGGAGGCCTCTCCAAGAAGGTGAAATGTTCAGCTGACTGGATTGCCATGAAGATCAGAGCAAAGAGCATTTTGGGCATGGAACAGCTAGTGCAGAAACCGAGAGTGGAAACAGGCTTTGGAGCTTTGTGTATAAGGAATAGCAAGGAGGCTGGAATGTAGTAAGGGCGGGTGGTGTAAGATGCACTTGGAGAGGAAATAAGGGGCCTAATCACATTAACTTAGTCTTCTCACTATGACGGGATCGTTTCCAAATACACATAGACCCGTGCCAGTCCAAGCTGCAGAAGAGACAGAAGAGTCTGGCCAACTACCAAATGCATTAAACGTTAATGAAACAGTTACCTGAATCCACCCTTTTCTCATGAAAATGGCAATGAGTTGTAGACCAAAATTAGGGCTGTTCTTCCATTTGAGAGTTATTAACTATATTAATAGCTTCCTATTGTGTGATCGACAATGATATACCATAGTACTTTAACATAAAAATCATATTAAATAGTATTAACATATTTTGATAAGGAAATGCTTGATAGCACTAAGCCAGCACTTTAGCTTAATATTTCACTTACATACCATAAAAAATTTCATTCGGTATTTTATAATGAGAAAGGATTATTCTCTTCTGTGTTTTATTTTTTTAATTGTTTCCCTTCCCTTTCACATGTCTATTACAAATCCTAGGTTGTTTTCATAATCAACTAATCAGAACTAATAACATTTCAGTACTCCAAAATGTTGTATACTTAGCTTTCCTGTTCCAAGAATTATCAGAGGGAGTAAATAGCCAGCATTTATTGTGGGGGCTAGTAAGTATTTTGCATGTATTGATTTGTTTAATCCTCACAGGAACCTTATGAAATAGGTCACTGCTTTTCAAACTTCTCTTTTGTCTGAAGTTCATGCTAATTAATGCATTTTATGTTATGATCCAGTAACAAACATCTTTATACGTAACAAAAGTTTCATCAGTTAATAGCACTGCAATATACTCTTGTGTTTTTTCTTTTTAATTTTTTATCTTTTTTAAGTATATTTATTTTGAGGGAGAATGCACAAGCAGGGGAAAGAGAGAGAGAGAGAGAGAGAGAGAGAGAGAGAACGAGAACCCCAAGCAGGCTTTGCGCTGTCAGTACAGAGCCCAGTGTGGGGTTCCATCTCACGAACTGTGAGATCATGACCTGAGTTGAAATCAAGAGCCAGATGCTTAACCAAATGAGCCACTCAGGCGCCCGCTTTTTTTTTTTTTTTTTTTTTTTTTTTTAATGGTGGTGTCAGTTCACTAAATAATTCACAATTCACTAGCAGATTGTAGTTCTCATGGAAAATACTAAGGTGTGGTATTTTACTGTCCTCATTTTACACATGAGAAAGCTAACAGTTTAGCCCAAGTGTTACATGTAACAACTGGTGAGTAGCAGAGGTAGGATTTGAGCCAGGAGCCTGGGCTTTTACTCAGTTTACTAAACTGAATTGTATAGCTATACCTTTAATTTCCAGAATAAATTTGGCCCTCAGAGTCATCTCCATCTTGCCTCTGTGACAGGGAAAAAAATGTTTATGAAACAAGTACTGCCCCTCAGCCCTGTCCTCCACCTGCCAAGAAGTTGAATTGATCAGCATAAGTCAGGGAGAGACAGGGGACCCTGAAGATTTAGGAATAGGGAATGAAGAGTTTGTGTACCTTATGGGGGACTTTTAGAGCTTGAGGATATGGCACAAATGTCTAATTGGGATTTTTTTATTAAGTAGTTTTGTGTGATTTTGAGGAAAAACTCTCTTCTATCTCCCTTCGACATTGTCAGGAAAATTACCCACCACTGATATTTCAAATAAGGATTTGACTTTGGGCAGTTAAGTCCAGCCTCAGGGTGAAACCAGGTCAGAACAGAGGCAAGCCTGTTGGGGCCAGCCACATCTGGGTGATACTTTAGTGAAGAAGTGCCATACGTTCACTAACGATTAATTGCCTGTTGTGTTCAAGGAGCTGTCCTGGCTGGATACAGGGATGCAAAGCTGATTTAGATGTACCAAACACATTTGTTATGAGTAGTGACTAAATTAGAAGAAAACCATGTCACGCACCTCTGCTGTGCAAAGAACCTTGAGTTGTTTTGCATCTAATTCCGTAGCCTGGCAAGTTCATTGCTATTCATGTAGGTTTGAAGCTCCACGCAGGCGGATGTGTGTCTGTCTTGTCCACCAGTGTATCCCAGTTGCCACACGCAACACCTGGCACATTGTACACACTCCAGCATTTGCTGACTGATTATTGACTAACAGCCAAGTAACTCCTGGGGTATTTAAGAAATCAGGTCAGGGAGTCAGGTTATTTACATCTGCCTATGAAAGCATAAATTAAAATGTAAAACTTTATATGGTAAATTGCCTTATCAAGTGATATCCATGAGCATAATATATTATGTGTCCTGAAATCAATTTCCTTTGTCCTGTGATCTGCTTCTGAAAACATTGACCAGCTTTCAACATAGCACCCCATTTTCTTTTCCACTGGACTGACTTTTCAGTGTCTAATTCCTTAGCCCAAGGAAAGTAAAAGAGTCTATCTTCTTTCATTCTTCCAAACGAGTAGACCTCCATCAAGCAGCTCTGCTTTGTAAGAATGCCTTTGCCTACCCTGAAAGGGACGGGTCCCTCCCTGCCTGTTAAAGAAGTCTGGGCTGGCATGTCAGCTCACACTGAGAGCCTAAGTGCAGGCATTTAATACTTTGCAGACGAAAGAAGCAGAGAGAGGCTCTGAGGCAAAAAAGTAATCCAAGCAGAAAATATATTTAAGACTAGAGGTTGCTTTTTCACAGCCAAGGAAGTGGCAATGGGGAGCTGGTTGCTGGAGGGAAGGAGCATAAATATGTATTGTGTATTTGGAGATAGGGGATTGGAGAGAGGATACTGTGTGGAGGAACCACTTATTTGCCTGGATTTCACCTCAAAATAGAAAATGAAGAAGTAGTTAAGAGGAGAAAATATATGTCCATAAACATTGTATATGACATTAGTTATCAGGTGTATAACAATGATGCTGTGTGAACCGTTGTCCTGGAAATCTGCATTTACATTCTGATGAAGTTAGTATTAATTATGTTGCCTTTTTAATGTGGGGCCTCATGATTGATGCAGTTGCTATGTCTGTAATCCCTATTTTTTAAACTTATTTTCCTTTTTAAAGGATGTTTTCTTTGTAAGAGAGAAGTCATAGTCTCCCCCTGCTGGATATGGCTGGTAGAACCCGAAAATTTAGGTCACTTGGCATGTATGTTGTGTAGCTAGGAGAGGATTCATTTACCTGGACTTTGAACTTTCAAATTTTCTTCCCCACAGCCTCACTTAGCAGCCTTTTGATTACGCCTTTTCCATCTCCAAGCTCCTCCACATCCTCTTCCAGTAGTTACCAGCGCCGCTGGCTTCGAAGTCAGACGACAAGTTTGGAAAATGGCATCATTCCAAGGAGGTGAGTTGCAAGTTTGCTCTTGCCGAGAAAGGTACTAGTTGCAGGCAGCTCGAACAAACTGGCAGTACTCACCTGTTGTCAGTGGAAAAAGAACTAAGACCTCTTGGTTAGCTTCAGCTTAGGCTGAAAATTTGCAAGTGATAAGTTTTATAAAAAGAATAAATATAGAAGCCAAACAGCAATCTGGTTTGGAAGACACTGGGGAATAATCTGGGTCATTGTGCCGTGTACGAGCTAGACTTGGTGTTATTTAAGGTGAGTGTGCTCTCTCTTTGAATTGGCTCCCTTCCAGATACAGCTCTTGGGAGCTAGAGGGGTGGAATAAATCTCTTCCTTGGCTTACTGTGACACCAGTGTGGTCTTTGGAAACCTGTGAACTCAAGGATTGGGACATACCCTTTTCATAAAACTTAAATTCTTAAACTGAGTGGTCACGACTCTGATTATAAAGATGGCCTCGAGGTATATTCTGCCTTCATTGCAGTTGAATTTTAGTTCTGAAGTTTAGTTGTTTTGCAAAATACACATTGTTGGCTCGTTATGATGTTACATCAATAGCTTCCACTTTCTTCTTCCTACAACCCAAAACCTTAAAGGGAATTAGTATAGGTTGTACCTATAAAAATTCACATGTAAATTGGTTGATTTAGTGAGTTCGCTAGTAATCACCATGTGTAGGGATCTGTGAAGGTGTAAAGATGATTCAGTTACATGCCTGCATTTGTGAACTACTAGTATAGTTTGTTGACTGGTAGGGAAGGCGATATGCACATAAATAATGGCATAAAGACGTTAAACTGTAGGGGCTCTTGGGTGGCTTAGTCAGTTAAGTGTCCGACTCTTGATTTTGGCTCAGGTCATGATCTCACGGTTCTTGAGTTTGAGCTCCACTTTGGACTCTGTGCTGACAGCATGGAGCCTGCATGGCATTTTCTCTCCCTCCCTCCCTCCCTCCCTC